TAGCATCGGTTTGTAGCACAAATGGTTTGCCGAAGTCGGGGCACCTAAGGATCGGAGCTTCCGTGAGCTTGGTTTTCAGCTGTTCGAACGCTTGGTCATGTTCGGTGGTCCAGTTCCAACGAACACCCTTTTTGAGTAATCGGTTCAATGGTGCTGCTATCTGTGAAAATCCAGGTACAAAACGTCGGTACCAGGACGCGGTGCCCAGGAATCGTCTAACTCCGCGGACGGTGGAAGGGTTCGGAAGTTCCCGAATGGACCTTATTTTGTCGGGGTCCGTGTGGATTCCGTCTGGGGTCACCATGTGACCTAAGTACTTCAGAGTTCTCCTCCCAAATTGACACTTTTCTGGGTTCACCTTGAGGTTGGCCTGTCTCAATCGGTGAAATACCCGACTCAGGTTGTGTAAATGGGATTCAAATGAATCACCCAGGATTATAATGTCATCTAAATAGCAGAAACAGTCCGGGTCCATATCCGGTCCGATAACGCTATCCATCAAGCGTTGGAAAGTCGCGGGGGCGGAATGTAAGCCGAACGGCATTACTCGGAACTGGAATAGTCCTCTGGATGGAACGGTAAAAGCGGTAATCGGTCGGCTCTCTTCGCTAAGCGGCACTTGCCAGTATCCCTGCTTAAGATCGATGCTGGAAATGTATCGGGCACGGCGGAGTTTGTCCAAGATGTTATTGATGAACGGTAACGGATATGCATCTTTGCGACTCTGCTCATTGACTTTCTTCAAATCCACACAAAACCGGTAACGGCCATCTTTCTTACGAACCATTACGATCGGGGAACTCCACGGGCTGTTCGATGGTTCAATAATACCCTCACGCAGCATTTCGTCTATCTCGGAGTTGATGATTTCTTGCATGCGCGGGTTTTGAGGACGATACCGTTGTTTGACTGGTTCTGGATTCGTTAAATGGATCTGGTGTTCTACCAGTGGAGTGGTTCCTGTGATCTGTTCGAACATTGGCAGTTCTATATCCAGGAATTCCTTCAGCTGGGTTTCTTCACTCGCAGTCAGTGTTAACGGCGGAGAGTCGTTCGGAGAATTTGAAGGCTCTAATAGACTAACTTGTTCGGGATCGGACGGGGGGGACACATGTTCCTGATTTAGGGTAACCGTCTGATTGCGCAGATTGATGACAAAATCGTGTTTGGACAGTATGTCCATCCCCACAATCAAATCAGCGGTTAAATTGGGTAAATGACTGAACTGTTCCTCTAGGATGGAGGAACCCAATTTCAGCTTCAGTACATAGCCGGATTCGGTATTGATCGACTGGCCATTTGCTAGAAAAGTCTTCCTAGGCATAGTCTCTGCCTTTTGGGAAGCGGTGTCTCTGTAGAGTTGAGCCAGTTTATCGCCGATATACGAGCTAGTGGCTCCCGTGTCCAGCAAAGCCAGAAATGCTTGGTGATCCACGATAATCGGAATAAGGGGACGGTTTTCCAAACGGTTTCGGGGACTCTGGGTTGGTGAGACGAGGGCGGAACTCCGTACGGGTCTCATAGCCGTACGGCGCCGTTCTAGTTTCCCGCATTACAGCGGCAATCTCTGGATAGCACCCCTTCTGTTCCACAACGAGAGCAGAACAGTTTCTGAGGGTTCGTGCATGTGTCCCGAAAATGTCCAGTTTGGCCACATCGCCAGCACCTCACTCCGGTGCTGCTCGGGGTGGCTTGCCGGGACGGAGTAGTCACATTCAGTACTCGAGTGACTGGGATAGAATCGGCGGAAGGGGTCGAACGGTTAATTGGTGGCGGTCGGTCTCTGGAAACGGAGTTGCGAGTTGCAGAACTCGCCCGGGGTTCATCAGGAACGTTCAACTCCTGATGCAGTAATTCGTATTCTCGAACCATCCCCGAGAATGACTGAATGTCGTGAAAATCGGACCGGCGGATGTAATGTCGGTATTCAGGGCGCAAGTTACGGTATAGCCATTGGAGTTCCTGGATCGGGGAAATGCCGCCATGCCTCCTAATCATGGTTTGCATGTCGGTGATGTACGTTATCGAAGATTCCCCAAGCCGCTGAAGTCGACGGCTAATTTTTGCTTCCAGGTCCACCTCATAATTGACTGGAAAATAACAAGCCCGGAATGCTGGAATGAACTCGGACCAGCTGTGCCAATAGCGACGGTTATTCCGGAACCACAGAGCGGCTTCTCCCTGTAGCAGTTCGGGCAGAACCTGGAGTAAGCTATCTGGGTTAACCTGTTGCGTCACGCAAATTTCCTCCAGACGTTCCAGGAAAGCGGCAGGGTCTCCTCGTCCAGAAAACTGCACGTTCCAGTGTCTGGTCTTTGGTAAAAAGCTTGCGGTCGGGTTTGCAGGAAGTGTCGGAATACCGAATGAGGTTGGGGTAGTCGGGGGGCCCCCTGTCAGGGGTTGGGTGCCCGTTTGGATTGCCGGAAACGGTATCGGGGTTGCGGTCGACGGTACGGTAGTTGTGACAGTCGTGACTGCAATAGTTGCACCAGTAGCGGGCATGGGAAAGGCAAAGGGGGTTGTCGACGGAATGGGGCTGCGGTTTCCATCCCTGATGAAATGAATCAGGCGCTTTCTTAGCTCATCCACGGTTCCAGTGGTACACAGTGCGAACTTCTGAAGCTCGGTGACGAGTTCGTGCCTACGGAGACTGTAAATCCACCCCACCCGGGAATCGTTGGGGTTGAGTGGAATATTTAACGAGGGCTTCGCCCCTGGAACGGTACTGGTGGTGGTTGTTACGGTCGTAGTGGTAGCGGTGATGTCTTCGGTATCACTCATGTTTATTTGGTCGGCAAAAGTCAATAGGAAAAGGAGTTAATTTGCGGAAACGGCGGATAAATAACACAGAAAGAGAAGAGAAAAAAAACAAAAGAAATCGGACTTTGGAATCGACAAAGAAAAAAAATTAAAAAAAAAAAAAAAAATAGAAAGTTGAACTTTGAGAAAAAAAAATCAAAAAAAATTCGGTTATACGGTCGGAGAACTTCTAACTCCAACTCTAAAACGGTCCCTGCTCGGGCGCCAAATTTGTAAGGCCTTCCGGTTTTACTCTAAAACGGACGGCGGTCTTTGCTCGAGCGCCACCCTCTGAGTTATTTGAAAGCCACAAAGGGATCGCTTACGGATGATTGCCAGATAACTAAGTGGAGTTCGGATGTCCAAGGCTTCGATAGTTGGAGTAGAAAATTTTCGAAACCACATTAACTTCCAAAGGGAGTCGAAAGGATAGGACAGGGAAACAATAATTTACTTCAGTCAAAGTAATACTTAAGTCAGTTTATTATAATAATAATAATTTAAAAAAAAAATATTACGATATGAAATTTCGGTGGCGGTACTTTATTTGGAATTTTATTTATCAGTAGGTATAAAAAAAAAATTCAACTAGAATACTAAATAATAAAAAGACACCAGCTGGATTTCGGTTCAATATGCATAAAATAGGTACAATAGATCGGAATGTCGGTTCCTAGTGGTTTCGGTAACAAAAACTCATGGACAAAATAAAATTTAAATAACAATTTCGGAAACAAAATATTTGCCTTTTTCCACGGGTTTGGAAAAAAAGAAAAATCAGTGAAACAGTTTCCTGGAAAAAAATCTTATCAATTCCAGAAACAATTTAAAAAGCCAACTTTCGGTTTTCTGAGCTGACGGTAAAAAAAAAATTCGACTGGACGGTTACTGATTGCCCCAAATATAATTTGCAGTGAAAGTTCGGTTCAGAGATCAGGGCGAAAAACGTGCGGGACAACTATTTCCATTGACTAGAACTAATTGTGCCTCACGCAATTCGAAAGTCGAAGACGCTGTGCTAGTAATCTCGTTCTGAATAGACTAAAGTCGGAGATTCTTAGCCCACATCTTTCAACCAACAGCCCTGCTCGGATTTTAATTGAAGTTATAGTTCGGAATACGGCAGAAAAAAAATTAAAATTAACGGTACATACCGGCAGAATATTCACTGGCACAAAATTAGTTACAGGAACTAAAAAAAAAGAAAAACGGTTTAAAGCACTTTTGCGTAGGTATTTAAATAATTTTTCGGACTTCTAGTCTAGTCGGGGGTCGGTCAGCTAGTTCCTCTTTTCCGAAATCTTTTTCGGCTCGCTGGGTTCGGTCCCCACTTTGGTGGTAAAGTAGTAGGGCGGCTGGGCGACGCGGACGCCTGTTGGGGCATAGAGCTTGTCCATCATGTGTTTGGCCTAGAGGGAGTTCGCAATGTGTTTGCGTTCGGTGGGTGAACGGAAAATTTCTGTAACTTCGTTACAAAGTTATCACCTGGGAAAAACGTCGTGGGACCCCCTTTATAATGGCCGGACAGCACTCCAACTTAAGGCCGGAACACACTTGTCATACACTCCTCCGATCCGACTCCGGTCCGATGTTGCCCTAAGAATCGGATCGGTGCGGGATGGGTTAAACACATTTCATTCTCATTTCTGGCTTCTTTTCGATTTCCGGCTCCGGCTTTATAGACTCACCACTCGCCATTCTTGATCCAAACAAAATCGCGAAAGGCCCTGTCTAGGTACCTACAATATGTTCAAACATTTTAGCAACTGCGATTTAGTCAATGGTGGTGCTTTTTTTAGAAGAAGAAAAAGATAAAGAAAATCAGAAATCTCTCATGAAGAACAGCGTGAAACGTAGATTTTCGGTACATGCTCTTGGAAAAGAAGATCTACAGGAGAGTTTTCTACTTAAGCAAACACCAAGCGACACGTGTTCTGGAAAACGAATAGATTGCACGATCCGACCATAATCAGATACAGGATCGGAGTCGAGTGCGAGTGGGGATGGGCACGTGCCGGAAAGGTGTGAATGAAGTTGTTGGAAATGTATTACCATTCCTCTCTCAGACACTCGTCCGAATGTATGATCAGAGTCAAATCGGAAGGATGCATGATAGGTGTGTCCCAGCCTTTAAATGTTGTTTCAAATATTACCAATTGTGCAAAACAGAGCAACGAGAGCTACTTTGAATTGTAGAGAAACCTATACCTACACTTGCTGCAACAATGCTTTTAATGTTGAAATATTTTATTCATAAATTTCTATTTACAACTTCAACTTTAGTATCATAATATATTAAATTTATGATCTTTTCTCTGGTTGCCATTTATTATAAATATCCATCCAAGTATCCACCCTTTTCCGCTCAGACCCAGGCATATCAATAAATTCAAGCTCTTTTCCGATATTTAAAAGCTTAAGGCTTCCATCTCTTACAAGAGGTTCCCAGGAAACATTTAGTTTGCTGTTGGCAGTAGGGTTGCCAAATGTAGCGAAATTTGTCCAAAGCTCGACAAAGATTCTTATAAACTTGTCTTCCAGACTTCCAGGTGTTATTTCGGGAGTTATGTCTGATTTGAAGAGATAGCCTAGATCGTCAGCATGACAAGCACCTAAGAATGTTTAATGAAAATACAAGAATAAATAAAATATACGAACGATTTTTTTTTACCAGGAAGATGTGTTTTGTGCAACATGTTCTTGAGATAGTTGACATTCGACGAAATTGTCATTCTGTATAGAAAGGTGGGGAGCTTTTTATTTTTCAAATGATTCAGGAGAAACTCGCAAATTCCAACTAAGAATGACGTATCAGTGAGCTCCTGAAATAAAGTATCATCAAAATAAAATTGGGCTATATTCTAAAACCATCTTACATCATAGTGTTCATCATTTGGTTGCTTGCTATATATTCCTTCCAAAATCTTAACCACTTTTTGACTGTCGGCACTTCCTTCAAGCAAATTAAGTTCAGCAGGTATAATGTTTTCCATTTTAAAAGGCGGCAATTCCACGTTATATGTCTTAGCGGTTTCCAGAACCATGCCCTCCTTGTCTGTATAACCTATCATTATAGGCAAATCGTTATAATTGCCTTCTTTAATCAATTCTCTTAGATCTTTTGTAATAAAGGCAGTCTCGTTTGGGGATTCTATTACTACAGAAAATGGTCTTTTTTCGCTTGCATATATGGCGTCTCCAAGCAATAGTTGAGCGTCATGAATATCCATTGCGGGAACTTGTTTCAGTATTTCCAAAGCTTGCTTTTCAGTATCAGCACTTTTTCCTAAAAGCTCAACCAGTTTGGTAGCATTGTTTTTGGAGCCCCAGCACCAACTATTCAAAACATTTCCGCTTTGTAGAATTGCTTTTTGGAATAAGCCTTTGGAGGCTGGAGATAGAATATGAGCATGAACTGAAGCACTACCAGCACTATGACCGAAAATTGTAACATTATTTGGATCACCATTAAAATGCTTGATGTTTCTTCGTACCCATTTTAGAGCTAGATTTTGGTCCTTGAGCCCCATGTTACCCGTCACTGGGGTACCATCAATGCTCAAAAAACCTAAAAGTCATCAAATAGGCAAAATCGTTCAAAATTAAAGCTGGAATTTCTCACCAAGTACTCCAAGTCGATAATTTATCGTTACCAATACAATATTTTTAGTAAGTAAAAATTCCGGACCATATAATCCAGGTCGGTTGGAGCCAGTGTTGAATGCGCCACCGTGAATATAAATCATAACAGGTTTGAGTTCGGTTTCTGAGTTTGGAAGCTGCAATTTGAAATAAAAATTGTGATAATGAAACTAGTGAATGCTATCTGTACGCGTTCCTTTATATTGGTACCCTCACAAACGACAAAGTCAATACTACCTAAGCGATACCGAGCGGAAGAAATTAAGTGACAATTAATCCTCGGCTTGAACAAGTTTAAAAATATTAGACACAATATAATATAAACAAGGTTTCCAAAATTTATTGAGCCACTACTCCAATTGTCTTGTTAAGATAGAGATGTATTCAAGGGCCCCACGTTGGGCGCCAAAAAGTTTAACGTACTTTTTTGGCAATTGCCTAATTATACTGCGTACGGCTAGTCAGCATCAATTCGGAGGCCAAGGGTTTATGGATTCCCTGTATACATCTTATCTTTGGGCGCCATCAAAATAATTGTGACTTAACTAAGAAGATTACTCAATGATGTCATAAACAAAATCTGTGCAATTGGAGAGCTTAGCAATAAAACAACTAATTAGGTAGGTACAATAATGTATCTGGCTTTCTTTATTAAAAATAATTACAATATTAAACAGGGATAGCCAGGACGTTATTAAAAAATGTATAGATCTAGGCTTGTACCTAATTTATAAATATTTGAATATATAAAAAAATGTTTGTAAATAATGTATAGATAAATATGAATTTTAAATAAACGTGACTGAAACTGTTTGGTATTTACACTTGTGAATGATGAAAAAATACAGTATCGGTTACACTTTACCAAGAGGCAAATTAAACACCAGAAAGGTGAAAGTTATTGTTTGGGCAACCTCGGGGTAAAATTCTAGAATTTTATTTAAGGGGGCACGTACTGAACGTAATTCAGTGTCAAGTGATTTATGTAAGATTTGCCGAAATACTAAAATGTGCAACTTACATGTATACAAGTGTATCTTCAAATGTGTAAAAACTCAGAAGATCTTAAAGTGGAATTATCTACATGTTTGATTTCACTGTAGATCCAGACAGAAGCAGTTAGCAGTTCTAAGTTTGTTCCAGACTATGGTATGGTGAGTGAGTCTTATGGAAGTCCTACCCACGTTTTATGTGTTTAACGTAGAACTCAACGTGGTTCTATCAGAGTGGTACCAAAAGAGTTGCTGAAGAGGAGTTACTAAAGGCGCCAACTAAGAGCAATCTAGATCCAGCCTAGGTCCAGTCTAAATACAGCCTAGGATCTGTCTAGGTACCGCCTAGAATCCGTCTAGATACAGCCTAGAATCTTCTAAATACAGCCTAGGATTCGTCAGATACTGCCTAGAACCCTATAACGACGTTCGTATAAAAAAAAAAACAGATCGAGCCCAAACATTAGAAATAATCTTACCTCCAACTGAGGGATACTCTAGGCCAAAAGTGAAACCTTAAACTTCCAAAAGCTGCTCGGAACGATCCTATTGAAGAAATGAAACACGTGTTGTAGGTTAATATTTCCTGAAGAAAATCTCAACACTTACCGAAACAAAACCCGAAATGAGAAATGACCAAGGGACAACTCTAGACAATGATCAACAAGAAATTAGTCTAACTTGAGATATCCCTGGCACAAAATTTCAAAAAGTCTAGCCTAAAAATAATTAGGGCCAAGACCGGACCTCACAGCATGAGGTCTCCAATAAAAAGGGCAGATTCTCCTTTTTTTGATTTGGAAAGGGGGCTTCCAACGTCAAACTTCTAATTTTGACATTGATGAAAATTAAGAAAAGGGCGTGTTAACTTTCATTCCAAAAATACGAACTGAAAAGTGGGTTGTTTACAAATGACTCCAGATAACCGGTGAATGCTAAAAATTGCCTATAGAACCTATATCAAAAAGAAGAACATTCTTAAAGAAAACGCCTAGACAGCGACAGCTGTTCAATGATAGATGTATGATGGACCGAAAAAAAAAAAAAAAAAAACAGCAACCATCATAATCTCGGATTATTTATTATTGGATTTGCAAACTAGAGTCGATGGTAGTCTCTCCTTTTTATAGGATTCTAATCAATAACAGCGGGCCCTGCGTTACTGAATCAAAGCTTCCTAGATCAAATAACTACGATTGCAAACCTGAACCAAAAAACTTTTAGCAGAAGGCTGTACTCAAGGTAATAAGATCTGGGCATAGAAAAGATAGTAGTTTATTTATTCATTTTTTTATAGTTCTATATGGAATCATATACACCAGAGCTAAACAAAGTAGCATACTTGAAGAGAAATTGAAAATGCTACAAGGTTAAATCGTTCAGGAAATGGCAGGAGGCAGGGAGTTCCAAAGGTGGGCAGTACGCCACCAAAAAAAAACCCCTATACTTAGAGGTCCTTGGGGTAATCAACTTTACCACACATGGAACAGATCTGCTTTTTTCTTCGACGATACTATAATGGAATTATTGTCCTTTACTGTTAAGGACATGCTTAATTAAAGGAGGAAAGGAAAAAGATGAGACATTTTTGCCTATGGTCTTGGCAAAGGACCGAAAGGACCTTGATGCACTTAGGCACTCAAAAAGTCGATTACGCAAGAATCGGAATCCATGGTAAGGAACAAATCGAATGAATTGGCCTGTTGAGAAATGGAATCGGAAATACGTGTGTGCGCTTTCCTACCAACTGAGCTAGGCCGTGTTAAATGGCAAATGCTTCAGCAATCAATTCAGCATAGCTGGTTTTGTTTGAGAACTTAAACCACTCTGAGTTATGAACAATAAAATCTCCCAAGAATATAATATCGCAGTTCGGATAGATAGAATCAATTGAAGTTGCCAGATTTTCAAATAGAAGTTCATAACTAGAGTCGTTGGCTGAAAGATATAGTTTAGAAAATATTGGACTGATCAGGATTCGATGGGATTTTCATTAGAAAAGTCATAGCAGAAGTGGAAAGTTGCGAGGAGTGTCGAATCGAGAATGAATAAAAAAAATACAAAGCAGTTTTGGCTGCTTAGAGTGTTTCAGTTTTTGGAATCGACATAATAATTTCGACTGTCGTTACACAAATATCCAAGCTCGGAGGCTTAATTTGCGCATAGGCGCACAGATGGCATGAAAGCGCTTTTTATTTTCCATACGAGTGGATAGAAACTCTACCTATGATATTAGTTTGGAAAGATTCCCATACTAATTACTCAATAAACCATAATAGGTATTTCACGGAACATTTCCTTCCATGGTAACATAATTGTCATCTAAATAATTTGCCATAGAAAATGATTACATCTCTGGATGGCTATTCTCGAAACCGGGAAACAGCGTTCTCATGAGAACGATTGCTCTGGCTTTGTCAGTGTTATGGAAATATAAATATGGGCGACTAAGACAACGTTCTCATGAGAACGCCGCTCCCCTATTTCGAGCATAAGGGACCTGATGAATAGTGAGGATATATTAACAAGTTGACTTTGTCTCTCCTACCCAATGCTTACAAATGAAAACCACAAAACATTACAAAATATTCACCTGAATCGAGTTAAAATAACTTGGTTCAACTAAACATTACGTTTAAATGATCTTCGAGATCTAGAAATCGAGTTCCAAGGCTTGAAGTATGGGGAAACTAATTATTATAGGGGAGGATTGTTAGATTATGTGTTTTCCTGTTTTTGAGCCTTGTTGGTATTTATAATATTAATTTGACTTCTACAAGATGCAACCGGGGGGGGGGGGGACATTGGAAATAATGAAGTAAAATGTAAAGTTTATGTGATGCAAATTGTGATAAAAATGGATTTTGATTTATGATGTGACGTGTGACGTCATGTGGCAAATGAAGCATGCACTTTTTGGCGATTTGGGCAGTCATACTAGGAACATTTTTTGACATTTCTAACAGCCAGTTCAATTTTGTTATTTATTGTCATGTGACACAATCATGTCAAAATTATACTGAAAACAGCCCTAGGGTTGTTTTCACTCTATGACATTGCTTTGGAAATTGCTGGCAGAAAATTTTCTATCCGAATAATCCTCGAACATTGATAAATACTCAAAACTTTTACAACTTATCAAGCTTGTTGCTTATAGAAAACAGACCTACGCTGACGCGTCGGTCTGTGCTTTCGAAATCTGTTATAAAAAAATTTCGAACAATTATCAATGTCCTTGGGCTATTACTACTAATGACAAAAGCATTTTTAATGTTGAAAATCTTAAAGTTATTCTCACCTCTTTGGTATAAACATTCAAATTCAAACAGTCTTCCGATCCTACAATCTGAGAAGTTAATTCATCTCTTGATATAGAGGCACTTCCAACTATGGTAGCATCTTTCACGCCCTTCCAGGGATCGACTGGTTGTGGTGGCTACAAATTTCAAGCGAAATTATTAGGGAAATAAATCGTGACTCTAAATGTGTGTCTACGCTTAGATCATGTAATAAAAACTATTTTCTTCTCGCAAGAAAAGGCAAAGTATGCAGGCGTTTGGGATTACAATTTCACTGCATATATCTTGATTAGATTCGCAACATATAATTTTTGATAATGGTAACATAATATTTTCAAAACAACGACATTTGAATTAATTTAGCCGATAATTGGTGGAGATAAGAATCCATTATTGGAAAATTTTCACTATAGGTATTTATTAAACACCTGCTACACTACAGAGCTTGAAACTTTATTTCAAATCTATGGTATAACTGTTACTTAATCAATATGAATTGAAAATTAATATAATGTTTATGGGTGGAAAAAAAAATCTCACCATAAATCGCAGCTCGTTTATCGGAGGTTTTGCATACGGAATACCAAAAAATTGGAAAAATTCCTCTCCATCCAAATTTGTACCTGTTGTTCCTTTGAGACTACCATCTTGTATTGTCACTTGCGCCCTAAAAATGATTTAGCAGGTCATACTTTTCAAGTTCTATAAGTATTGCTCACATTTTTATCAACAATCAAATTTGCCTTGAAGAAGACGCCGCTAACTATACACTGACGATAAATACTTGATCGAACTATAGTTGATTTTATGTAAGATATAAAACCCGATAAATTAGTCAATTTAATTTCAGATTTCGTCCGATTATGCTCACTAATGGGTTTGTTCGTAATCTAATCTACATACTAGACTGACGGAGAGCTGGCGGCCGCGGAGGTACTACGATATTACCTCCGGCTGGAATTTTGCGGAATGGTTGGGGAGACTATAAGGAAGTGCCATCCGCAAGGATTTTGCTCAAAACTTCTGCAAAGTACACGTCAAACGACTCAAAAATGAAAAAAAAATTGTTCAAAAAATGATCACACCTCCGGCTGAAAATTTTCATATTATCTGTTTAAAGGTCACATATAACGTATGTAAATCGTCAGGGTCGCTGCCAAAGATCGTTGATCTCCTCGAATTTTTAACTCTTTGCTGATGACTTGAAGTTGTATCGACAGGTGACGTCAGCTCAAGACATACTTATTCTGCAGAATGATCTTAACATTGTTTATGATTGGTGTCAGCTTAATGACATGTTCCTCAACATTGATAAGTGTTGTTGTATAAGATTCAGTATTGCTTAGGTGATGTTCGCTTGTCTGAAGTTTCTGTCATCAAAGATCTTGGTGTCTATCTAGATACTAGGTTGATGTTCATCAAGCATTTTGAAGTGGTAATAAAATGTTGGCTTTTATTAAGAGAGCTACTAGGGATTTTACAAGTATACGCCCCCATCAAAATTCTTCACACATTACTGGTCACATCCGTTCTTGAATTTTCTTGCATATTTTGGTCACCTTACTATGAGATCCACATCAATAGGCTTGAGAGTGTTCAACACAAATTTATCAAGTTTGCTAGCTACAAACTGTCTCTGAGTAGTGTGATTCTCAGCGTTGACCAGACTATGACTTACTTAGGTCCAGTTGTACAGTCCAGGTTCAAACAGAGGTTTAGTTGAACTCTACTGGTATTTGAACTTAACCATTTGAATTGCATTGCTGTCAAGAAATATATATTTTGGCATATTTCTGACAGCAATGCATTTCAAATGGGAAGGTTCAAGTACCAGTAGAGTTCAACTGAGCCTCTGTTTGAACCTGGTTTGTACAACTGGGCCTTAGACTTAACTACTCTCATTGGCAGAAGGGAATACTTTGATGTCTGTTTTGCTTTTAATATCCTTAACTACTACATAAAAAGCCACGAATATCTTGGATGCTTTTATCTACACACTCAAAGTTATGGGACACGAAGTAAATCTTTACTGCACATTCCTTACTGTCGTACTTGGTACTTACTATTCAGTCCTGTTAATATAATATCTGCCAATGTAAATAAGTTCTACGAAAGTCGTGACTTTTTTAGGTTATTTCAAGATAGATTCAAGACGCGGGCCATTAGCCCTGTTACCTCAACTTCCACACCCAATTACGATGCAAATCGCTGGCATTTTATTTAACACAATACCTAAACACACAAAAAAAAAAACACAAAATCCCATAATTTAAATCTTGACGTTTGTCCAGAATGTGACAGAAGTCATTGGCTTGACCCAATGCTTGACCCGAACTTCCATATTGAATTTCGTTTTGACAGGTCAGTAGATTGCCTAATTTCCGATGGTGTAGCTGGTGAGCCCGTTTTACAATGGGAAAATTAGGGTGTCCCATTTTTGATGCTCACGACTGTATTTTTTTTTATGTATTTTTTATACATAAATGAATAAATAAATCCCTTTGATAAGAATCCTGGTATTGAGGATATACGAGGATAGAAATGTTGAGAAGTGAAAACGGAATTTCCATAGGCGTTTGCTATGCTGCTGGAAATTGTTTGTTGAAAGTAAATCATCATTATTATCATCGTAGGTATTAACTTTCTAACGAGTATCATTAGTCTTTCTGCAGAACTGTTATCTATTCTATGGGTTCCTCCATTACTAAATTAGTTTATTCTGGATTGATTGTATACCCAATCAGCCTTAGCTGATCTGACATTTTTTCAACTTTGTCTTGAGAACATCTTTGTGGGGTTGAAATTGCTCTTTCTGGACTTTCAGTTTGAGATATCCTGAAAAGTTTGTTCCATCAAGAACTGATAGAAGCCAGATCTTTGAGAAGCTGAGTGTCACCTTTGAATAGTAGGTAGGGGATAAGGACCTATTTAGGAGGAACCATAGATCGCGTCTATGGAGCATTAGAAGGTTTTAAGTTCCAATATATTTCATAGAATAGAATAGAGCACGCAAATGATAAAAGGGAGGTAGCTTTTGCAGCATTCTTTGACAAAGAAGGGGCCTTCGACCGAACCTCATTTGAATCTATGACATGGAATCACACACACCATCAGCAGATGGATTGATAATATGCTTCGTGGAAGATAAGTTCCGGCTACTCTTAATAATGATACGATGGAGATGTCGGTATCAAAAGGCTGCCCGCAGGGTAGGGTCCTGTTCCCTACTGTGGGACCTGGTCGTAAACAAGCTCCAAGTAGACCTTATAACAGAACTATTTATATCCAGGGTTAGTCAGATGGGTAACCATTGTCATGGGAAAAAATTTACAAACTACGTACTTCTGCGAAAATGGAAAGAGCGCTTAAAATCGTGGAAGACTGGGTCAAAGGGGCAAACCTGAGTGTCAACCCTGGGAAAACAGCCATAATCCCCTTCACGAAAAGAAGAAAACTGGACGATCTTACTTTCTTCGGAAAGTAAATACAAATCGTCCGGGAAGTTCGTCTAGAAATTATCCTGGATGCAAAACTAACCTGGAACGCGCACATTGAATACGCCACCAACAAAGCTAAAATGACGCTTATGGCCACCAAAAGAGCAGTGGGAAAAACATGGGGCTTTGTACCCTACATAGTATATTGGATCTATATGTACATTAGTGGTAAAACCCAGAATAACCTTCAGAACAATAGTCTGGTGGCCAAAAGTCGAACAGAGCAAAGCAATAATGGAGCTATCCAAACTTCAAAGACTGGCTTGTCTCTGCATAATGGGTACAATGAGAAGCACTACAACTGCTGAATGGGGGCTTATAGACTCAATTGCAGCCAGAGCTGGAATCCCAGAAGAACAATCCGGACATACCAGGATATCAAACATTGTTACAAACTCACTATTTGAGATGTGAAGTAACATCATAACCCCGAGAATAAATACTCACAAACCGTTTCCAACCCAGATTAACTGGAAAAACAAAACAGAAAACTCACTAGTCCAGAATCGAAAATTAGTATGGTACACTGATGGTTCCACAACCGACAGTGGAACCGGTGCCGGAGTAAATGGCCTATCCCCAAGATCAAAATGGTATTCTCCACTGGGGAAGCACACCACCGTATTCCAAGCCGATATACATGCAATAGAGATATGCCTGAGGGAAAATCTGAGAAAGGGATATGTGCATATCATATGGATATCACGATCTTTTCAGACAGCCAAGCAGCTATTAAACCTCTAGCATGCCAACAGATAAACTCTAAATTAATGTGGGACTGCCTGCAACTCCTTTTAACCCTAGCCAGCCATAACAAGGTAACTTTTGCGTAGGTACCGGGGCACACGGGCGTTGCTGGCAATGAAAACGCGCACTCCCTAGCCAGGCAAGGATCAGAAAGGCAGTTTATGGGCCCTAAACCCGTTTTCGGAATATCAAAAACCTCGATACGTGGCTACTTGGACAAGTGGATCCGAGAGGAACACAAAAACCACTGGTATCACATACCGAGGCAACACCACAGTAAGGCAACTATCCTACGACAAGATTAGCCTCTGACATCTTAAAGCTCACGAGGAACCAGATCAGAATTGTGCAGGACTCTTAACCGGTCAATGTACACTATACTGAGGAAACACCTACACAAGATGGGAATCTACCAAGATGAACCCATCTGTAGATTGTGCGACGAGGACGAAGAATCAGCTTCTGATATCTTATTCGAGTGCCCTGTACTCGCTTACTGGAGAACCCGACACCTCTTGGAGGAGAAATATGTCCAGAGGCCTTATTCTTGACTTTCTCTTGAGAGAAAATTTGACTGTGTTGACAATTATACAGTGCATTAACTGTTAACAATGTCAAATTTTCTACCTAGGTAAAGTCAAGAATAATGCCTCAGGAGGAGGATCCCCTGAACTTGCAAATAAAGAGTCTACTGCACCTGACGAAGGTGTAAAACCTTTGCTAATGTACTTCCTGTCCCTAAGATCCAATATGATTGTCCTAACATTAACTTTTCACCAGGCAAATAGATATTTATATCGGGTAAAGTTAAATGAAATGTTTTAATAATACAGTTTAAATTACAAGTTATTTTTAATATAATAAAAGCTTACTTAGAGATTCTATTATATAGGTACTTGATGGTTTTTGTATTTAACATTATGCTTGATGAAGATTATCATTAAAATTATTATTTAAATCAAAATCAAAATCTTCCTTTATGCCTTTTTCTCTGGCTGCCATTTCCTATAAATATCCAACCAAGTATCTATTCTTTTCCGCTCAGGCCCAGGCATATCGATAAATTCAAGTTCTTCTCCAATATTCAAAAGCCTAATATCTTCATCACGTTTAAGTGGTTCCCAGTTAACATCTAGTTTGCTGTTGGTAGTAGGGTTGCCAAATGTAGCGAAATTTGTCCAAAACTCAACAAAGATTTCTATAAATTTGTCTTCCAGACTTCCAGGTGTTATTTCTGGAGTTATGTCCGATTTGAAGAGATAGCCTAGATCATCAGCATGGCAAGCACCTAAACATGCTAAGTAAAATAAAAAAGCAAAGGTCACGAACATTTTTTTTACCAGGAACATCTGTTTTAAGCAACATCTTCTTCAGATAGTTGACATTTGATGAAATTGTCATTCTGTATAAGAAGGTGGGAAACTTTGAATTATTTAAATGATTCAGGAGAAATTCCCAAATTCCAGCTAAGAATAAGGTATCAGTGAGCTCCTGAAATTAGTTATCAATCAAATAAAATTGGTTCAGGTATATTTTAATCATCTTACATCATAGTGAGCATCATTTGGTTGCTTGCTATAAATTCCTTCCAAAATCTCAACAACTTTTTGACTGTCGGCACTTCCTTTCTCTAAATTGAGTTCAGCTGGTATAATTTGTTCCATTTCAAAGGGTGGTACTGCTATTTTAAACTTTTCAGCTACATCCAGAGCCATGCCTTCCTTATCATTGAAACCTATTATTATTGGTACGTCGTTGTAGTTACCTTCTTTAATCATTTCTCTGAGATCTTTTGTGATAATTGCAGTCTCGTTTGGGGATTCTATCACTGGCGCAAACTGTCTTCTGACGCTCGGA